GTTTATGTTCATGTTGCCTCACTTTTAGCCATTTCAGATTGTTCCTAGCCCTTAATAGGTCCGTGATGGTTGTAGGAACCAGGCAACCTACTACGTATCATTTGTAATTCTAAAATTACTGTTACTTCCTCTGAGAAGCCATGTCTATGCATATGTAAGTACGTTTCAGTGGGGCAGTATAATCAAGAGGATTTTTCATTTAACACATGATCATTAAAATGAAATAATTTTTTTCATAGAAATCAAATCATCTCTTCATTGCCTTTATTTAACATTTAACTTTTAACTCTTGATAGTCTAGCAGAGCAGTGAGATGTCTTTGAAAAAGTAATCCAGTTACCACTGTATTTGAGAGCTTTTTTCCCCCCATAATTCCTAATGTATTTGAAGAAGCAAGTCATTCTGCAAACAGCTGTTCCTGTTAATATACTGGTGATTGACAAAGGGTAATTTTCAGCTTCCTGGGGTCCTTTTCTTATTCTGATGGATGGTAGAGCTTTCTCTCATGAACATAAAAAAGTACACTTCACAGGGGTTTTCTACCACCAAGTGCCCGGGAAGTCTTGTCTCTGACAGACTCTCACTCTCATTAACTCCCAAGACTTGGGTGGGATTTGAATCTCTAAAATGCTGCTTTTCTCTTTCACTCAAGTACTCTTTGTGCTCATTTGTGAAAAGCCTGAAGGTAGGAAAAAGGAAATAGATTGAATTTGGGAGGTTTTATGAATGCTCTGCAACTTTTTCCTTTGTCTGTCATCAACTTTTTGATGTATTTCAGAAATTTCATTGGTCATTTATTCCCCTGCTGCATTTCGGGTGCTTTTTCAAAGAGAGTAGATGGGAAAGGGGAGCGGGAAGCTTCATAGATATACTAGTGCTTATTTCAGCAGAGAATCACTTTCCCATTGAATCACCTTGCTATTTTCTTGACTCCGTATCACAGTGAAAAACCCAATGAGGCCAAAGGAAATGGAAAAGGAGTGAAATTGAGGCAAGCCTAAATCAGCTTGCACTCTAATCTCTTCAATGCTTTAATTTTGTGTGTCTGTGGAGGGGAGGGAGAGAGGTTTACACATCTTGACCAGCCTTAGCTGCTGTTTTTAGGATAGAGCCAGCTCTACCAGTGGATGGCAATTTTCACAGGTACAACATTTAGAGTCGTTTATGACATGGTGTCCTACTTTGCACTGAGCACATGGCAACTCTGAACCTGTGGGTCTAGAAGGAGGGCTTGGACAACATTGACTTGGCTTGGGAAACACAATGGGTGATTTTTTTCAGCGCAAGATGGTTTCTGGGCTGTTATAGACCTGATGTGATAGGGAGTCTTGTGGCCCATTCAAGAGTGCTTAGCTGGCCTCAGGAAAACATTGGAACCTTTCTACTCCATAGTCTCTGGTTTTCCAAAGGACAAAAACAATAAGTGATTACATACTGTGCTGGGCAGATCCCTCCTCAGCCTCCACCCCATCCCATTCATACATGCTTACCAAAGCCTTAATCCCCTCCAAGGACTAAAAGCAAATGTTAGCAAACGTCAAGAGCAAAGTTTGCCACCCTCTCCCCAACTCCAATGAAAGTATTTTGGCCTATAATTAAGTTTGGGCATCTTGAAGAATTAATACAGGGGAGATTTGTTATCACCAAGTGTTGTGCATATAAATATATTATCCTGAGTCCTAAAGTCGTTTTGAAAAAACTTGAGGGGCTTGGCTTTCTTTTGAAATATTGTGTTCCACAGATAACATTGATGTTAAATTATTTGTTCTCATCTATTGTTTGGATAGAAAATGCAGGTTGTTTTTTTTTTTCTTTATAAGCTTTCTTTAACATAAGAAGCAGTCTCTGGTAAGGTAGTGTTTCTGTGCATCTGCATTGTTATAGAATTAAATTATGGATTCTGTCATTCAAAAGAGAATGCTTTATAAATCAAGTAAAATCTCATAACTAAGATGAATAAGTTTTTTAAAATCTTATGCTGCCTCATATTCCATACTTTAGTTTTATAGCCTAACTTGATGTAATTTTTAAAGTGTAATTTTTTTTCTATTTCTATGTACCATTTTTGATTTGTAAAAATGTCATTAGTTTCCCAAGAAAAAGCTTAAGAAAAGTTATTATATATAAAGGACAGTAACATAACAGCACAAAGGCAGGTAGCAATTCTTTATCTGTAGATTGGCAGGAAATGTGCCAAATACACCATGTTCTCTCACTCCCTTCCATTCTCCTCTCCTCTCTGATGACATTCAGTGTAAATGACGTTAAGACTCTAAACTGTAACAAATGGCAAAAATCCTAAGGTATTCCTTTTCCTTTTTTTTTTTTTTTAACTGATCTATTGTTTGGAATTCCTGAATGTAAGAGAGAGTCCTCATCTAATTTTGGGGGCGCAGGGAGTGGGTTACAAATTGTGTTCTGTTTAAATGTTTATGGTTGTGTTTGCCACTTGTCTGGGAAAGCTATCAAGGTGGGTTTGTGATCCTAAGGCAGTCCTGCTCAGCAGGTGCCTGGTTTCTTTTTTCAGGGCTGCTATGCAACTGTCCCAATGCTAGTAGGCGGCAAGAGGAAAGATAGTCTAAGGAGAAGGAAGGTCAGGACTAAGTTGCTTAGACCTGGTTAGGGGGCAGGATTTCCAAATGCAGCTACAGTTAGTGATAAAAAGACCTGAAATTCAGAAGAGGGGTCAGAGGTAGAGATAGAGATTTAAGATCTGAGCAATTGCAGTGAGAGATGAAATTTTACCAGCACTTCATTTCTCCAGGGGAAAGAGATTAAGGAGGAGAGCAGAGGATTTAGGACTGTACCTTGGGGAAATCTTTAATGTTAGGGTGTGGGAGGAAAAGAGAAACCCCGGAAGTATAAACTACCATGCTTGGCTCTGGAAGCCACCAAGTGTCACTACTTCCCCTGAGCTGTTAATTCTGAGCCAGATAATCCCAGTTATACTGGGTGGAGGGTGGAGAATCTGGGAACTAAAATCCTTGTGACTATCTTTGCTTTGATGCAGGTTGTAGTAGGTGTAAAAAGAAGCTTATGGGGCTTCCCTGGTGGCACAGTGGTTGAGAGTGCGCCTGCCGATGCAGGGGACACGGGTTCGTGCCCCGGTCCGGGAAGATCCCACGTGCCGCGGAGCGGCTGGGCACGTGAGCCGTGGCCGCTGAGCCTGTGCGTCCGGAGCCTGTGCTCCGCAACGGGAGAGGCCACAACAGTGAGAGGCCCGCGTAACGCAAAAAACAAACAAACAAAAGAAGCTTATGTTTTCTCTTAGGGGGGACATTACTGGGGGGAACCCTCCATTACCGCAATTTTTAGCGCATTTAAGGATTTCCTTATAGTCCTTATATGTACTAAAATTATGTAGCTGTTTCCTAGGCTACTTAATGAGTTCAGGAAGGCTGGGTTCATACCACCCTCAACTCTTACTACCAAGAAATTCTTCCTTTTCCAGGATTTCCAGAGAAATATAAAAGCACATTGAAACTAAGGTATTATTTGATTTTATAAATAATTTGATTTAAAATTTGATCAAATTGGAGAAACAACAGGACAAGCCTGACGGAAAACAATAGTGGCTTCCTTGACTTCTTAAGCTATGTTTTAAGTTATACTCAGCTTCCTGCCAGGGGAGGTAAAATAAAAGAGCCACCTCGTCCCACTGATCTGATATTTAAAAGAGCAGTTGCAGTGCATCTGGTTTTGCTTTATAGGTAACTCTCTAAAATTTTGAAGGACACACCTTGATTCTCAGTGAAATTATAGGAATGCTTGGATAACAAGATAACTAAATATGGAGAAGTGATTACATAATCCGTTAAGGCATCATAAATAGGGAAAATTCGTAGCATGTGTTGAAAACACTTGATGAACTAACTGACTTTCTCCTGGGAATTCGGGTGGCCTAGCAACTTGCGCTCTTGGGTTCAAAAAAAAGTTGCCTTTTTTTCCCACCCCTCCCTCCAGTAAGCTCACGCACTATGAAGGATCTTAGCAACTGTGGGAAAAAGAGTGGCTTGCAGTTGTGCTTATCTTAAAAGGATTATGGCAGACCTAGTAATCCAAATGAGAGAATTATTAGCGGCTTTGCCCAGTGCTCAAGAGTTAAACAAACACAACAGGTCACATTTGAGAATGTGATAAATACCTGTTCAGTGACATCCTTTGCTACCACATAGTCAACACCATAATTATCAGCCATATCAGCATTTAGGTAATACCAAACGCATGTTTGGTTCCACAGGACTGACATATGATCCTGTCTGGAAGTGCTTAAACCATCCATAAAACATTCGAATACCGGACACTCCCAAGTACACTTTGGTCTCAATTATCCAAGTGATCCAGGGCCAGTGCCTCTGGAATCTACAGAACAGCATAGCCCCAAGGTAGAGATTTATTCTTTAACAAAATATCAGTGGATTTCAGGATGTTTCTCACATTGTATGGATTCAGGAAAAAACTTTAGAGCCAAAATTGTCCAGAATAATGGATCTAAAAGTTTTAAGATACATTTATGTGTATATATGTAACATTTTCCCTCAGTTTTCCTGATTGTATATGTAGATCCACACCCTAAATCATATTTAACATGCATGATGTCTCATGTTGGGAAATTTTTATATAAATCTGTAATGTTATGATGATACACTATTCCTAATGTTTTATATTTTAAACATAAGTTGATGCATATCAAAGTAGAGCAGAGCAAAGTGGCTAAGAGAATAAGTTCTGGAATCAGACTAACTGGGTTTTAGTTCTGGTTTTGTCACATGTTAGCTGTGCAAGCTTCTCTCAGTCTCAGTTTCCTCACCTGGAAGATGAAGATTATGAGAGTATCAGTCTTAGGGGCCTTGTATGAAGACTGAATGCATTCATTCAAGTAAAGTACTTATGACATATACATAAGTACATCACATATGCTAAGAGATTAATAAACTTTTCTTAGCCACACCAGATTTTTAGAAATATTAATGTAAATTCATCTAATCCTTCATTTTCAGGGTCGGTGTGCTAGAGAGAACTGCAAGTACCTTCACCCTCCTCCGCATTTAAAAACGCAGCTGGAAATTAATGGACGGAACAATCTGATTCAACAAAAGACTGCTGCAGCCATGTTCGCCCAGCAGATGCAGTTTATGCTCCAAAATGGTCAAATGCCATCACTTGTAAGTCATAGTGCTGCTTTTTCAAAATTGCATATGTATGTCTTTTATTTTTTAAGGATATATATCTACGTTGGAATAACCTTGCAGGGCCTTTGGGAAGTTAGTCACCAAAGGATTGAGGATGCAGGCTGATAGGTAATTGACACTACAAAGCTGCTGTGCACGTGAAGGGAGCAATCAGGTGCGTTGGATTTAAAACCTGGGTTGCAGGAACCATGAATGTAGTTTATAGAAGAATATTAATAAAGGAGCAGGGACATTTTAAGAGGAGGAAGAGGTTTGATTATTATTACATATAACCCTTTTAATTTTAGGATATTAATTCAAACAAATTTCCTTGCTCTTTGATGGTAGTTTTGTTGTGACTTTTTAATAGACTTTTTATTTTAAAATAATTTTAGATTTAAAGAAAAGTTGCAAACATAGTACAGAGAGTTCCCATATTACCCCTCACCTGGTTTCCCCCGCTGTTAATATCTTATATTTCCATGGTATATTTGTCAAAACTAAGGAACTGACATTTACACATTACTATTAACTGAACTCCAGACTTTATTCAGACTTCACCAGATTTTCCATTAGTGTACCCTTTCTGTTCCAGTGTCCAATCCAGGATACCACAGTGCATTTATTTGAATCCTGTCTCCCCTCTCTCCTCTGGTCTGTGACCATTTCTCAGTCTTTCCCTGTTTCCCATGACCTTGACAGTCTTGAGGAATACTGGCCAGGTAGTTGATGGGGGTTTTAACTTAATCTAGCCACAGTTTCCCTTTGCTGAAATTAATAATATTTTGGCGTCATTCTAGACCAATGTCTAGTATTTGTGTGGATCAGTGAGTTTAAATGGATCACCTAAAAAGTAATTTTGTCCTACGGAGAATTCATCTTGTCCTGATACCTTAAAATATAAAGTTGTAGTTTGGTCTTAGAGTTTTAAGGGGGAATTGAAAACTGTCCCTGTCTACTGAGTTCTTCCAGGTCTCAAATTTAGTTCCATGGTGTCTCATTCTAATTCCAGCTGGTCTATTATTTCCTTTTAACCATTATCCGGATACTAATTTGAAAGGCTTATGTTTTCTTTTTTGTAACCCACTTCATTGGTGACTATATAATGAACACACTGAAGACTGAAAGATGTATATAGTATTTAGATGCAACAAAAATGTGGGAATAGGTCAATCTGCTCTCAGCAAAGTGTATCTCATTAGAAAGTTGTTTCTCAGAATTCAAGGACATCTGTATAGATAGGGCACTCCTTAATTGGTACATCTTTATAGATAATGCAAGAAACCGGTGCTTGAGGCATTGACAAGTCACTAAAATTTTGTACCATGATACTCTTTCCAGAATGTCTAGAAAATTTTAAGTAGCATAAATAGATTTCATGTTTTACGCTATTCATTTGCCAAAAACATTTGCCTTGGAATTCAGTGCTGATTAATTACATTGATAAATTCGTTCCCAGAAGGTCACCAGTGAGCTCCCTGGAGTTCCCCTTTGATCTTTAGTAATACTTTACATGGTTGAACTCCTTCAAACTCTGTCCTTAGCTTTCAAACACTGAAGTATTTCAGTTTGTCCTTACTCCTGAAGGGATAAGGAAGAGAAAGTGTTCTAGATACTGAGAATAGTATGAACAAAGCCACAGAGAAATGAATATGCTTGGTGAGTCCAGAAAATGTGAGTAGATGGGGAATAAAGCAAGGGAGCCTTTAACCCACCATTACTACTCTTGGCCTCTTGTGGGATGTCCCAATTTCAGACTGAGCAAAGAATAGGAGCCAGATTTTATCACACACCTGAGCCCAGCATTTCCTATACAGCTGGAGCATACATTTTTTCATAGGTCAAGGGACATCAGTCAACTACCCTATTTCAGGGAATCATAGAGCAAGGGCCTGGGGTAAAATAGGGGTAAAGACAGAAGGCAGACTATTCATCTTCCCTTCAGCCTCCAGTCAAGTATCTCCATGCCAAGTCTCAACCCTTCATGCATTATTGATTAGGGAGTGGCTTTTTAGAGTCCAGTGAGAGATTCATTGAGTTTTTCAGCCTCTTGTGCTTTCTAATTTGATCCTCCATGCTTTCTATAACAGAATACATTTCCCTTTTTTCTTCAGTGAGGGTAATTTCAGGCTGCAGAATATGACTGATATGACTCACAGGAATACAATTTATTTTATAGCATATCACAAGACACAAGACATTGCTTAGAAGACCCCAGGGAACAATTGGAAATTGCTTTTCTACCTTGTAGATTATTTAACAGTAGCTGTTGTGATGTGATAAACTGATAAAAGATTGATTTCTGTAGTTACTATGTGTACAAAAAGCTAACCTCGAGATGTTTGATATGATCTTCTTTTGTGGTCTAGAAAGCTGCCTTGTGGGCATGTTGTAATTGAGCTAGTGTGAGCAATTTTAAGTGACATTTACCAGTCTGACTTGAAAGAACTGTTCTTTATTATGGATCTTGATTTTACTATGGAAGCAACGTATTTTTTGCTTCATTTCCTTGGTACCTACTCTCCCCAAACAACTCTCTATCCCTTCTAACCGCACCCCCCTCCCGCCCTGATCATCTGATTCTTTTCTCTAAAATATTCAAGCTTTTGTTTAAATTTCCAGTCCTGCTGTTTGTCTGGCTGCATATTAAGACCCATTTGGTATCACTGCCTTGAACCTCAGGTCTTCCCACAAAGCACACTTTGATCTGTTTCTAGGATAACAGAAGAGCACATCTGCTTTTGGAAAATTGAGTCTGTTTTGCTTATTATAAGCCCCCAGATAAAGGGAACATCAACCTAAATGTAGCTAGGGAACAGATTCTGTTCTGTGTGACTGAACAATGAATAAAAGCCACACCTAGTCAATTCGGGTAGAATGCTTGCTGTAGCAGGCAAGTTTGTTCACTGTATCTAACAGGTCTAAATTGACATTTGCACGTATAAAATTCCACCTCAGAAAGCTCTTGTTAGCTTTATTGAGGAAGTTTAGCAAGTGAGGCAAAGGGTGTGACTCCGTAGTATTTTTCAGTGCAGTTTAAGAGAGATAGTTGCTGATGTTCACAGCAAAAAATTGTACAATTAAGAACTCCCCTTGGCATAATTAAGAGGCAAACACGAGCACTGGAGAAGAATTTTAGGGCAAGCAGACACATTGGATTCCAACTCTCAAGCAAAGCTAATGTTTCAAAATTTCAGGTCTTTTCACAACTTGGAATCTTCATTACAGAAAGAAATTTCCAAGGAAGGATTCTCACTGCTGGATGTAATATATGCATGTAAAAGGTGGATATGATGTTAGAAGGCTATTAAAAATATTTTTGGCTCAGACATTTTGTATAATCTAGACCTGTCTATATCTAGTAAATTCCTTTTGCTTCTCTGTTTGAATGTGATGATTCATATGGAACCAGTTCTTTACACGCAGGTAAACTTGACCCAGTCGGGTGTATTCACCTGATGATTCATACAGAGATTACTGGATCATCCATCACTGTGTGCCAAGTCCTCTGGTCTGCCGTATGCTTTTCATGACTCGCATTCCTGTGGCCAAGTCATGGTGTTCCAAACCACAGAGGCTATAAACACGGGACTTCAGTCTTTTTCTTTATCACAGATAGAATCATCTCATGTCTGTCTGGACCCTCCCCACCTTTTTGCATCATTTTTACAATTCTATTTACCAAATATATTTCTCAGAAACAAGCTTATATGTCTGTCTGACATTAATATAGTAAGGAATGAAGGTGATGTAACACTTCAGGACCAAATGGGGAAAAATAGGAAGTTGCAGTAGATAAGAGGAAGGGAGATATACTAATTAGTGAATAATTTCAGTATTTTTAGGCTCCCGTGTTTTGAATGTTTTTCTTCTTTAATTAAATAGGACCTCTAAGATATTATATTACTCTATGCAACTTTGGACCGGGACAGATTTAAGTGAATAGAAGTAAAATTGCAAAATATTTACTTACTTTTTAACTTTTGAAAATATTAAATGATTTTGTAGTTAAAGATGAAAGGATAATATCCTTCCCTCACCAAGATACATTCTACATTTTGCATATTCATCCAGAGTTATAGTTTTTCTAGCTCACATAAACTAGTTTGATTGACTGAAGTATATATGCTATCTCCCTGTTGTCAGGGCTCTTCTATTAAAAAATTATCATTAGAAAGGTGAGCAAGACATTTTGTAGATTTAATGGAAAAGGAAATTCTATCCATTTTCCAGATTACCAGTCTCAGGGTCAATACAGAAATTACAGTGAATTTTAATGAAGATTCTTCAGTGAGTCTCTCAGTTTACCTACTCATGAAACGATGAATGACAACCTTTACGTCTTTCATCTCAATGTGGTGACATTCGGTGTTTTGTAAAGTGATTTTTGCAAAATGTTCAAGTCAGTGGACGATGGGCATTATGTAATTATAAGATTAATATGCTCTTAATATAATTATGACTGTCATTATCATGTGAAATTCCACATTGACCGAGGTTGAGCAGATCATATCACAGGAGTGTTTGGAGTGATACCATGCTAAAAGCCCAAAGTTTTATCAAGATTTTACTAAGTTTTCTAAAAAATTAGAAAAGATTTTACTTTTAGATGTAGCAACTGAGACCTAATATTATGTATTTGTTCCACAAATTGTTCCCAGGTGTAGGCTTACCTTGAGGTTAGTGAAGGCTCAGTGCCCCTCACTAGCGTGGTGTCGTGCCAGGGCCCCGGGAGGAGGCGTAGCAATGTGTTTACAGTGTGTTTGTAAAATTTGCCAAAGATATTTGTGTATCCTTTGTTCTGAAGGCCTAAACTTGGGGCCCCACAGATCCTGGATTCACTCCTGATTGCAATTACTTGTCCAAAGTAGAGTAGTTATTCAGGTCCTTTCCCGAGGCTGTGCATGTCACACAGCTTAAAGCTCCTTTTAGAGTAAAGCAAAATAAATCACACCAGCTAGAGGTTTGCTGCCTTGCCCCACTCGGCTTAATAT